TATATTTTAAATAAAGTTAAATATATTTTATTGTATTAAATATATACTATAATTTTTAAAAATATTTAGAATTATTTCATAATCTATCATAAATGTTTTTAATATATGTATTTAAATTTTAAAAAATATTTTAAAATTATTTAAAAATTTCGAAATTATTCGATATATTTCGTATTATATATTAATTTTACACGATTTTGAATATTTTGCAATATTTCAAAATCTTTCGAAAGTTTCAAAATATTTCACAATATTTAGAAATATTTTGCAATTTTGCGGAATATTGTAAAAATTATCAAAATTTTGCGAATTATTTGAAAGTTTTCAAAATATTGCGAAAGTTTGCAAAATATTTTTTGAATTTTTATTTTATATATGTGTTTTTAATGTATTATATTTGCAAAAATTTTGCAAAATTTTTCGCATTTTTTCGAAATATTTTGCGCTATTTTGTGATTTTTAGAATTTCGCAATCCATCACATCAATCACAATTTTTTTGCATGCAATAACTTTCAAAATTTTGCATCTATATTTTTTGCTGATATACTATATAAATAAATATTAGTTTGAGATTTAAGATAGAATTTGGAATTTAAATAAAATTGAAATTTGAGATAAGATTTGAAATTTGGGATTTGGAATAGAATTTGAAGTAGAATTTGGGATTTGGGTTTTAAATTTGAAATAGGATTTGGAATTTAAAATCAAAATTTGTTTGGTTTTACTATATAAAATTTTTAAATATAGATAGACAATTCTATTTGTTCAGGTTTGTCTATAACTATAAACCGCCTTTTAGTTGAACGATTTCATATATGTAACACAGATCACGTGGAGGTGAAATTTTTGAGTTTTTTTTTTCAAATTTCGGCCCGAATTAAGGCCGAAATTCAGAATTACACCCCTGCGCGTTATACAGGATGTTTTAAATATTATAAAATTTTATATATGAAATTTTTTTAAAAAAAGCCGGCCGAGTCCATTTGGACTTCATGTTATGAAAACCAAGAAATCAAATTTGTAAGACTTAATACAATTAACAAAATATTTTAGTTTATAAATATATACAGTATATTGCATTTACCGACTTTTTATAACAAAAATATGAAATCGAAATCTAAAGTTTAATTTTTAGTGTTTGGTTTATTCAAACTAAGAAAGATTATAATTTTGATTGAAATTGTTCACATTTACATAATTTCAATTTTAATAACATTTTTTACTGTAAAAGATTGACTATGTTTAGATTGTTTATAGCTAATCACGAAATTAAATTATATAATTAAACTTTCTTTTTTGTTACATGACATAACTGGATTGTAACAATGAGAGAAATTAACGTTTTTGGCAATTATGGGTTCTAAACCTAAAATAATCGAGTTCATGCGTGACTTAATAAACAAACAAACACCATCATGAGACATATAAGGTATACGTGGATTTTTATTTCATAGATAATAGGAACGCGACTTTTTATGGATCATAAAAGGTTTGTTTTTTAAAATCATATAACGTTTTTTGTAAAATTGACAAAACGAACAAACGAAGGTAGTTTTTTTTTAAAGAACATGAAGACTATTAAAGTTTGCTAAGTGATAGCTTATTAAAGGTTATCTATTACTTACTTATTTATTCTTGGCTTTTTCATTAAATATCAAAAGAAATGTCACCATCGCTTCCACCCGAAACTCTATACCAAATACTCAAGGAACTTTCATGTAGTGATTTACGAAGTTGCGTATTGGTTAATCATATATGGAGTTTAACTGCAATACAATTACTTTGGAAAAATCCATTTGCTTTTCGATATAATGGACAAAAGAACTATCGTCATGTTGCAGGAAAGGGTAAACGTATTGAATGGTACGAGGACAGTAAACGATCCCTTGTTGACACATATATATGGTGTCTCAGCGATGAAGCTAAGCATTCTATTAAGAATTCAGGAGTTGAAATACCTAGTCATATGACTAAAAGGCGACCAATTTTCAATTATCCGTCGATTTTAACAACACTTAACTTTATCTACCTCAGTGATGTTATTGGATTTTGGCTTCCAGCCACGACGGTTTCAGATTTTTCTTATTATGTAGTTTTTAGAGAATTATGCAAAATGTTTATGACGAGTTCACCAAGATTAAAGATACTCGAATTCAGTGACACAAAAGCAGCCGAACTTAAGTATAGAAAGGTTAACATATTACCACTTATATGTTATGCACCTGGAGCAAATGATTTCTTTTCTAGAATTGTTAAAATTTCATGTAACGGTAATTTACATATTGTTTTATAAATAAATTATATTGTATATTTTTTTTTTTATGTACAATTATTTTAATCTTAAATGTATTTTTGCGCGTTAGCTATTCTCCAAAATGAAATTCTTTACGAATTGGCATTGGTTGCACAAAATATTGAGGAAATGAATCTTCAAGATTGCAATAAAAATAAAGATGCAATGGCAAAATTTATTCAATCACAAACCAAATTACGAAAGATTGAAATTGAAATTAATGGACCACCTACATTTTATTTGGCCATTCAACGAGCACTTGAAAGCAAAGCACCTTATCTTACACACCTTTCAATAATTCATAAGGGATATTCATATGATTCATTTCGATATTCACTTTCATGGCTAGTTAGATGTGAAAAATTGCAAGAATTAAAATTACATAGCAAAACAGGATTTTATGAAAATTCATATCTACATCAAGCATCATTGAAAACTTTTAGAAATTTAAAAAAATTAGAATTTGTTCTTAATAATCTTAATTTAGATCATATTACGATGATTAAAAAAACCGAAAATCGATTAAGCAGGCTCAAATTAATTTGGACGCGGGTTAACTCACCAGATATTCTTCAAATTACACCAATTTTATTCTCTACAATCAATCAATCGTGTATATATTTGATTGAATTAGAATTAACAGTTGCACCTATAGCATTGATATTCATAACGGAATTGTTTCTCTGTTGTAAATTTCTTGAAGATGTCAGATTACATGATGGTAGAATAAGAATATTAGGAGAAACGGAAATATTAGATATTTCAGAACATTTAATTGACTGGGGAAGTGTGATACCACGAAGTTTACGAAAACTAATATTCAGGGGCGATTGGTCATTTACTTTTAATGCATTTCGACATTTTATGGAAGGTTGCGATTTAAGATTGTTTGATAAAAAACCTTTGTTCTTATTTGAAGCTCTTGATTCGTGTTTAATTTCAAGATGGTTGGGAGTTGTGCTTGATTGCTATATATCGAGTGGAAAGTTGAATAAAGACAGTGGATTTAGATTTGTTTAGACAAAAAGTTTATTCATTAGATTTTATTAGGAAAATTAATGGTGATTAACTAACACCGTTATTTGCACAACTTACAACTTAATTAAAAAAAAAAAATTTGTAAAATTTGTTTACAATAATAAGTATTCGATATTCATGGTATGAAATTAATTACGTTATTATGCTTAATTACTAAATGCTGTGATTTCGTTTGGAATATATATATATATATATTCTTGCAGATTAACATTATCCAAGCGATAATGATATCGATATCTGTAAGAATATTTATAATTTTATAATAACCAAATACGGAGAACAATTTTTAATTTATCGTAGATAAATTACACAAAGGTTTAATATTTATTTCAAAAATTATACATCTTCCCAAATCCAGAAAAAACCAGCATTATCAATATTTACACCTTTTATCCAACATCTCCCAATAATTCCAAAGGCAGTCATAAAACCACAAAAATTCCAAACTTTATTAGCAACAAAATTTACCCTTCTACCTTTATCGATTGGAATAGATTCACCATCAATCAAAAATTCTTTACCATTATCATCAGTTAATAAACCATCAAAAAATGTAACTCTTTGCATTATCTACATAATTCGTATCAACTTTTTCAACAAGATATTCAAAACCTTCTTCATTATGTTCTGCAACTACTTCAAGTTCCATAAAATTAAACTCACAGAGTAATAATTTTTCAACTGATGAAATTTCACTATCTGTAATTAAACCAGTCCAATATCTCTGAGGGTTTTTAGGCCAATCATAACCATCATTTCGGAGACACCATAAAATTTTATTTGAAGAGTATACCTTATTAAAAAAAAAAAAAAAAATGAAATAAAAAAAAATAAAAAAAAATAAATTAAATTATATTTACAATAATAAAAATATAAATAATAATTGAAATGTTATATATTAATGTTATTGAAAAAGAAACTTACATCAACCATATGAGTCCATTGTAACCATTTATCACATTTTCTTGAATCAAAAATATTTGATTCAGGAATAATAGGTTTTCTTTCTTCATTAGCAAAGTATAAAAGATAAATATGCAAAGCATGACAATCAAGCATAGGAAATACAGCATTATTATTAGGATCCCAACGAATTACACGTCCTCGTAATTTGGCAGCTATACGTTCTACAATATTATCAAATGGACCCAGTCCTAAGTTGGGTAAAATTAGAAATAATAAAGAGATATATAAACATTAGAATAATAATAGCAAAAATAATAGAATAATAAGAACAATAAGAATAATAAGAATAGTAGAAATAACAAGATATAGTATAAATAACAAGATATAGTATAAATAATAAAATAGCAATAATAAAAAGAATAACAAAAATGAAAAAGAATATCAAGAATGAAAAAAAATAAAAGATTAAAAATATAAATTTTCGATAAAAAAAAAAAAAAAATTTACCAAAAACTAATAACATTGATATGATTTTGATAGATATAAATATACAAGCAAGATGTTTCAATGAAGAGTCCATGTCAGCATATAATAGATGAAAGACTTGAGAACAGAATTCAGGAGCACGCATTTCAACGAGTTTTTTTGAATTTCTTCCATCTAAATGAATATTAAAAAAGTTTTTTTTTTTTTACAGTATTATATAGATCATAAATATATTATCTACAGTATATATCGTATATATTAATAACAAATAACAAACCATTTTCAGAAATAAGAACCCATAAACAAGTCAAAGCATTCAAGATACTATTTAAAGTCGATTCGTTTTGAGGTAAATCATTGATAGAACAACTTTCTAAAGCATGAAGACTAGAATCCATCATATCAACATTTAATTGAGAACGTTGAAAGAAAATTTTTCTAAAATTACACGTGACAAAACGACGCTTTCTTGCAGAAACATCATATTCAGACATGAAAACTTGTTCCCATACGATACGATCATGTGATAACTTATAAAAAATCTTGCATACTAAAGGTAAAGATGCTACAGCAGTCTTTGGAGGATTAGGAGATTCGGATAAAATAAGTTCATAAAAGATTCTCAAAAGTATTTCGGTTGGTAATGAACATAAATTTAGATCAATAGGAAGATTAACAGTATCATTTTGAGAATCTAAATAGATATAATCAACGGTATTTTTAGGCCAAGAAATTTCCGAGTTATTGTCCAAAATAACATTTTGACAAGAGTAAGAGGCTAACCAAAATAAAAAATGAAGGAATTGCAATGAGAGACAGACCGAGATGAT